CAACAAATCCTACACACTGTGCCTTTAAGTACAGTAACAAAGTATTTGTACTTAATTACTTTACAGCTCTGGGTTTTTAATAATGGGCTTCAAAAGACTTCCCATTTTTTGTTTCTCTTTTTAGGGTTTCACAGAGTTCCTTGAACTTTACTATTGCTCTGAGTTGCTCAAAGCCACGAGTGCTGTCAGATCTACTTTTCACTGCCAAAAATATTCATTCAGACGAAGTTGTGACATTTGTTGTGAGCTTGACTAGTTTGCCAAGTATCACTATTAGATGATGTTGCTGTAAAGCTGGAGGCAAAAAAACATTGGTCCTGTGTTCTTTTCTTTTTCAGCGGTCCAGTTGAGAAAGGCTCCCTATAAAAAGCCAGATGGAGAGATTAAACCTTACTCTTTGATGGAGCGAGAAGGTAAATGTTTATTACCCTCACCCAGTGTTGTCTATAGCAGGGAAACTCAAACCTTTTTGCTCTGGGGACCCCTTAAAAGGGCAAAGAAATTCCAGAGTCCCCCTCAGAAACACCATGCTGTTTTAAAAGATAATTTATTGTATTTCAACCCCTAAATGCAATGGGAATTTTTTTTATTTAGTTTATTATGTTTGTGTTATTAGTTCATTGTTCCCCATGCATTTTTAAAAATAAGAACCAAATTAACAATTTTGTGAAACTTTTTGAGGACCGACAAGATACTACTTGTGGACCCCTGGGTGTGCTGGGACCCCAGTTTGAGAACCTCTGACCTATAGTAAACAGTGCTTTAGGGGCACTTGCACACTGCTCTAATAATATAAATGTGGTAATATTTGTATTCATAAGAAGCTGTGGTATAAGCTGAAATAAAGCCTAAATATGAGGAAAAATAAGTGAAAGTTTCACAGCTAAGCTGGTAGCCATCTTGATATGTGTTGACTCATTTGTTAATGGGTTGTAGATGTACAACCAACATTTCCTTTCTGAGAGTTTCATTAAAGTGGTTCAGGAGATATTTTTCTCAGACTCAGCTGACTTCAGTAGTGAACAGCAAAGTTTTCAAAACCAGTGTTTTGCCATGAAATAAACCGAGCCACAAGTGGGCTTGAACAAGAAATGTGGGCATGTTTAACTGAACTGAACTACACAATGTTGAATCCATGGAGAATGGGCTCTCGTTTTTGGTTTGACTTTCAGCTACTACCATTGAGTTTTAGCTCAGTATCTGTAAAACTGACTGAGTTACAGTCTTTCATGTGTTTAATAAAACAGAACTCATCTTCATAGACGTGGAGCACAACACATTAATGTTGCATCATCTGTAAAACGTACCAAATTAACTCACTTTAGTGATTCACTTTGTTAACTGTTTTTTTAACACAAGGATGCTGTGTTTCCTCATTTGTCTTCCTTCTGTAATAAATCTGTTGTTGAATCCTGGACCAGGTGGTCACACAGACCATATATTATCACCTTATTGAGCCACAAAGCTTCCCTTTTCATCAGTATGTTTTAGCTCTGTTACTACTTTGCTTTGCATTACAAAGGAGCAGGAG